GGGGGGGGGGGGTTAATGAGTGCGTGTGTAAAATCTATATATAAGCTGCCTTAAAACTTTGAGAATCTCAGTCGAGGAAACAGGGCTGGTGTTTTCTGGGGGACTGAAAACGGACAGTAAAGAATTGGAATCAGAGAAGGCAGAAAATTGTCGATTGAGCTCTTCTGCGTTGGGACAGGTGCTCCCACGTGTGCCACAGAGTCGCTTCAATGTCGAGCACATCTCGTGACAACTCTAGCTGCCCAGAATAGTCTCGAAAAATATCCGATTCAAGCGTTGAATCTCTGCCTTGATGGGAATCGATGATAATTTAAAATCGCAGCACCTGCCATTCATATATGCCTTCTCCTTATCACATCGAAGACGTTTTCGAAGAGGCGAGGAAAATCCGTCAGTACGGATGTATATAGTCTCGATCGGGCGACAAAAAAAGCAACAGAAATTAAGATAGCCGGTGAGATGTTCGCATCTGGAAGAATTATTGGAATTGAAGAAAACATAAAAATAAGTTGAGGAGATCATATCGTGGAGTCTAGTTAGGTTATCGGGGTACAATTCCTCCTTCGTATTTTCCTTGATGCTTCCTGTGCTTGCTGACGATGGTAAATTTTACCGTAGATTTTAGGGTGAAAAGGGATTGTACAGTGGTCAGACGTGCTAATAGGGCCCGTTTTTCTACAAACAAAACCTGTGGGACATTTACGAAAATGCCGTCAAACCGGGGCTCCAAACGAGTGGGAAAGTGCACAAGATGAACCAAACCTCAAGAGAGGTATATTGAAAGGATTAAAATCACCGGCAGCAATGCAGAAGGACTAATGTAAGCCGTTTGCGAGTTGTGTCGAGATAGAGTCGGAAAACATTCGGATTTCAGAAGTGGGCGTGCCAGGAGCAATGCGAATGGTTTCTAGCATGGTATGGTGACATTATCAAAGAAACCGGAATTCAGATTGAACGACAGTGCAGTTGATTTCCCTGGTATAAAATGAACTAAAAGATGAAAAGTTGTTAAATGGCGTTCGATTGACAAAATTAACCACTACACCGATTGTGTCATTGAAGTTTACAGTCCGATCAACTCAACAGATATCAAATCCATCAAGCCGGCCAACACCATCCCTAAATCTAGGTTGTAACCAACTTTCTAGGAACGTAGTAATTCCAGTGTTTTTGCAAACATTTTCGTCTACCGTAATCTTAACTTAATCAGTTTTTACCAGAACTGAGCGGAAGTTACAGGAAATAATAAAGGGAAGAGTCAGTCTGATGACGGAACGCCTTCTGTAAGCGACCCTCCAACCAGAACAAAGTTTTATTCGCTGTCATTGTCCCTTCTCCTTCTCAATCGGTTATAGCTTTTTCGCACACAATGCGCAAAACACAAAAATTAGTGTTCACATGCGACAGAAAACAGAGACCAAAAATGTGGGACTGTAGGATAGTACTGGACCTTGAAAATTGAATGAATTGATTTGATAAATTATGTAGGGACGAAAACGCAGTTTTCCACTGTAAAATCACGAAAATATCCGATGGCATTATAGGCATAGCCGAATTTGAAAGCCTAGCCACTTTAATCGACTGCTTGGGACGCTCTCTTAAACAGTGACGCTCGAGCATCTATTGAACTGCTTGGCAAACTTGGTCCACTCAGTCCATATTCACACATTGATGCTGCCTCCCATATTTCAATCCTTCCGCTACTCCTTCATCGAAATGCACTGCAAAAAGATCAACAGAACTGGCGCTTGAAGATCCAAGGTTAATGGTGGTCTAAGTTGAAAAAAGCCGAATCTGATGACCCTGTATTTATGTTTATCGGTTGCGCTATCAACCTTCTGACATAAGATCAACGCCTCGATTGAACAAAATTGAGGCCTCTTGTCCGATTCAGGTTCCTCATTCTCTTTAGAGTTCTTTCTTTGGAACATCTGCTTTTCAGATGGGGAGCGCCAGTGTCGCTCACATGAATATCACGTGGATTCGATTATTGCTTATGTCATTCACTAGTGCAAGCTTAACAGTTCAGGTTTTTCTTGGCTAACTTCACATATCATGTTGAAAAAAAGGTTGACCCTACCGTTTCTGCTGTAATGCTTGGTAAATCAACTAATGTTAATGGCAACCTATATTGGCTGGAGAAGAAACAACTTGCATCCTCGACAGAAGTTTTGAAGGTGCAACAGTCCCTAAAGTTCAACAAAGCACATGGACCTGATTCTTTGTCTCGTTTCTAATGTTATCAGTGAGATATCATCGCTCTTACCGAATCGTGACTGTTATTAGAAATTTTCGATTAAGAAATCTCCACTAAATATGTCTCTACTAAATGCGATCGTCCCACGCGCGGCGGTCTTGTGTTCGCCGCAATTTTCTTTGCGAGGTGATGAATCCTGTGATTTCGGCTCCTGACACACTTAGGTGTAAGTTACGACGATCCAAATACGAGGAATGTTTGATTGGCGTAATTCATCACNCCCCCCCCCCCCCGTTAATCCCGGACACAGCCAGTGAAGCTCTTTTGCGAACTATAGGAACAAATGGGCGGCGGTGGAGGCAGTAAACTGGAAATTGTCAAGGCTAGTCTCACGCACGGCTTGGGTGGAAACAGAAAAGATAGTGAGGGCTGAGGCAGTTCATTTCTACGTAAACCGCGGTTCTACAGAAAAAGATAGTCGATAAACGATAAATTCAAGCAGATTCATGAAAATGTCTGGAGCCGGCTTATCCTTTCCAAGGAGCCAGCCGCAGTAAAGTAAAGTAAGTCACTTGACGTCAGCGTACGGACAATTTCAAACGTGGCGGTACAGAATGACGCGTAAAATTGTGATTAAACCAAACCAAAACTGAAGTATACAGTTATAAACACAGAAAAACAGAACAGTAGTAGGAAGTTACTGGATGAATAATCGTATAACCTTGGTATTCGGTCATTTGGCATTAAATATTCAGTGTAACGCAATCAATGGGTATTGTCATTTATATTTAAACTAATTAAATATTCGTAGTAGTCAAATTGCAAATGCTGAAACATTCAAATTCAAAACTATATCACACTCTTACACAAACATTTATCCATAATCTATTAATATGTGATTTCAAAAACCCCAATCTCGATAAACAAATGACTGTCTGTCAATTATTCGAACATCAGTTTAAACAGCTGGTAGACTCTCATCCAACGTACAACTAAGTCCAGGATGCCGCCAGGTTTGGAAACATGCAGACACCATCAATACTGGATTTAGTTGTGACAAACGAAGAGCTGATGGTAGAATCTATCAGTGACTCCCCCCAAAGACGCAGCGATCATGCAGTACTTGCATTCAAATATATTCGTTACGCTTGTATTCAAGGAAGTTCTTCTAACAACACGCAAAGATCCATAGATTATACAAGGTTACACAACTTGGCGCTCTCTACTCAGTGGGTTTCTTATGGGAAAAAACCCAATCCGTTGATCTCCTGGTAGAAATTTATCGACTGTCTTGCAAACCTACGCACATTAGCGACTAAGACCAGAGTAATCACAAAGTCTAACATCCGAAATGCACCTATTCGAAGTTGAATGAGGAAATCG